AAAATACTAAAAAAGACACACCCACCATACTTCACAACAATCTTAAATATAATCTAAATGTTTAATTTGGAGCTAACAACCGAGGTGGTCCAATGAATTTTTTTTTCCCTGTAAAAATAAGAGAGTTTAAGTATAAGTTGCCTAATATGCCTTTAAGGTAACTTAAGAGAGTATAAGTTGTATAATATGCCGTTAGGATAACTTAAGAGATTATAAAGAATCAAAACTCAAAGGAATTGTCTCTTATGCAACTCAAAATAATAATAATAGTAACAAAAGAGTAGGAATCCATTTACAAATAAGTGTTATATATCATATTTATATAAAATTTTAATTATTTATATTTTTACTTTTAATAGTTAAGATTTATTTATTTATTATAATATTTATTATAAATAGTTATCTTTTTTTACCTCAAAATCATGATAAATTTAATTATTAAAAATAAAAAAATAAAAAATTAAAATGTTATATAAACATAATATATAAATAGATATCCTCCTAATAAAATGTTTAATTTGGAGAAATTTCGTACAATGTAATGCGCATTTGGGCGTGGAGCGCCCAGGTCTATTTGGGTTGGGTCCATTGGACATGGGCCTTTTACTCTAAAGAACAAACTTATGTTTTGTATGTTCATGGTAGGCCGACTAAAACCCTAATGGGCATTCCATAAAGATTCTTTAAAAGGCTGAGATCTTATTCTGGATACTAAGTAGCTGGTACATGCTTTAACATCTAGAAAATAATTTTTCCACGTATAATTCTACGGTATGATATTAATACATTCTTCTAAAATATATCTGGTTTTATATATTTTTTAATATGAGTATTCGAATCTTTAGTTCAAATTAACCATTTTTAATCCATATAGCTGAAAGAATATATTTGGTTTAACTTTACGAATTTATTTAGATTAAGAAAAATGAAAGAAAAAGATATTGCACGAAATATTCCCTCTCTATTTTATTCCATCTCAACGGTGCTTCGTGTTTTTACTTCTATTTTTTTCCTCAATGAACAAATTTTAAGGAAATTTTGTTTTATAATTTAAATTTTATTAAATTGTAAAATATAAATTATTAGATGTGAGGAGAATATCTAATATTGAGAAACTCAACCCTTATCTAATGATTAATATTGTATAATATAGTTCAAATTGCATAATGTATGACTCACTGCAAATATTGATTTTTTTAATTAGCAGTAAATATTGATGGGTTTATTTAACTTGTATCTTACATGTTAAGTTTTATTAATTACAAAATTTGTAATTAATTTTGCATAAATTTTCATATTAGATTTATATTTTTGTTTACAGGTTTTGAGTATAAATATTATATTTTATATTAATTTTACATTTTATATTTTATTTTAATTGAATATAATATAAAAATTCATATGAAATTAATTAAAAATACTGTATTTAATCATATCCCCCTCCCTTCGCGGGTTTCGAACCTGCCTCATGACAAAAAATTCAAAAAAAAAATTATTGTATTTAATGAAGTTTAATATGTGTCTAAACACACTTGTTAGAAAATTCAAATATTGATTAGTGGATCGGGAAAAAGGAAACACTGATGAATTAATTGCGAAAACATTAACTCAATGCAAATACTGAATAATTTTTTAAGAAAAGATATTTGTACAATATTTTTATCTCACATTTTTATATAATTTAACGTGTCATTAAAATAATTAATTTTTTTAATTCATATGAGACCCATAATGACATATGTGACCCATAATAAATATAAAAATTATATAAAAAGATAAGATAAAAAGTTATCCATATATAATATTAGCCTAATTTTTTCATCTACAATTAATATATTATTATCCTACGTTTTTTCTTTTTGTATAGCAATTCTGTGACATCATATACAATTAAGCTTTCGTCTTGCCATAATTCTCTACGGCAGGATGGATTCATGATCCATTACGATATGTACAGTGCCACGGCCGAAAAAGTTTACGGTTTCTGTACTTTTGCGGTAAACCTTTCCACCATCGGCGGCGCGCTCATAAGGACAAGCTATGGCTATGAACTTCGGAACCCGATCTCCCGGCATCAAAACCGGCCTATTCCGCCCTTCGTCTTCAGTGACGTCGACAACCGGCTTCTGTTTAAAGAGTCAAAATCAATTGATGATTTAGAGTGCATGAGACATAACTTACTATATCTAATTAATTGTACAATACCTCGACAGGATATGGCCCTACGGTGGTTGCCACCGGTAAAGTAGCGATATCAATTTGAACAGTACTACCGTCGTCGTCTTCCTCGCCGGAGGACCAGAGGAGTCTCCTAAGCTCATGCCACTTGAGCCAGCAACTTAAAAGGGTACTCATGCATAACAAAAAGATCAGAAGAAGAGCTACTCCAAGAGGAAACCCTATCGACGGCCGATTTGACGACGAAGATGCTGCTTCCTCCCCCATATCAATGAAGCCAAACGCACTTGGGGTCACAATATATTGGTGTTAGCGATTTTGGCCATACATACATATATATATATATATATGATTAAGGACAAGGTGGGTCAGTTTTTGAAACAGTTTAATTCTTGCGTTAATATTTCTATTGAATCGATGTGTACACAGTGTATGCATGTTAAGAAAATGATCAGAACAACTCATGAGGTTTGCTCTGTTCCTTATACATAAAAAGTTGGTTGATGCATTTATTCTTGTGCTAAATATTGAGTCTGATTTCTGGAGAAGTTGACCTAAATTTACTCTACGTACTGCGCACCACCATATGCCCCCACTACCCACCACAATATATATCTTTAGATTCCGACTTCTTTTTTGCAATTATGGTGTAGGGCAATATGCACGGTTGCTTATAAAGTTCTTCACGAAACTCAACCTACTTGTTTGTTTTTACTCTCTCCAATGTGTTTAGTTGCTTCATTTATAACAACAATAAAAGTTTATCTTTTTATTTTTATCCTTAATCACAATCAAATACTATATCAATAATAATAATAATAATAAGGTTATACTCCCTTTGTCTTAAAATAAATGACATTTTTTTATTTAATCTTTTGATAAGGATTTAAGAATCATTTATATTTTTATCTGTTTTATTCTTAAAAAATAAAATAAAATAAAATGACTTTTTTATTATATGATAAATAATTAAAATCAAGAGTTAATAATAAGATTAGAGTAAGAAAAAAAAAGTATTTACCTCCCCCAAATATATATAAAAAAAACTATAATTTTAATATAAATTTTAAATAAAAAATATCTATTATTTTAAGATAAATTCTAAATAAAAAAACTTTTAAGATTATTATTATGGGACACAAGGAGTAGTATCTCCTTAGCAATATGGATAAAACTGAAATAACAATATTTAATGTCTTTGTAAAATAAAAAGTAGGGCAACTAATTTAAATCACTTTTATTTGGTAAATGAAACAGTTGAAAGATAATTCTAGACAGCAAGTAATTAATAGCATTTGATTAAATATTAGAATTAAATAAAGGGAGATATCATAGTGCAATCAATTGAATGTTTGAAATGTGAGTCCAGATATTAGGTCCTTGTCACTTTCGGCTGTGTTATGAATTCCACTTTCCATACCAAGTGGAAGCTGTAATGATTTGTAACCTAACAAGACTAATATATATGAGTCAGCCAGGTGCTAAAAGCCTAGCTAGGAAAACAACTCCTTCAGCTTCTGTCCAGGTTCTTCACATAATTTTCAGGGCATGCGTCAAAATTACTACAACTTTTTTTATTGGATAATATTATAGTTATAATATCATATAAAATTATAAATTTATATTATAATGTGATATTAAATAAATATATATAATATGATAAATAAAATTTTAAATAATAATTAATTATATTATATTATATTATAAATTTATAATATTACATGATATCGTAACTACAAGTTTTTATTTTTTATATCCTTTACACCTATATTATTGGTGGCTTGGAAGTTGGAAGCCTTGAGCCTGTAACTCAGTAAGTGTATCTAATTGGGCTAACATCTTCGGCCCAACTAACAGAGGTCCAAACACCAAACGTTTGTTTCGGTTCTGTTTGGCTCTTGAGAAAACGGAAGGGAAGGAAGCAACTGAAAAAAGCCACCTCTTTATCCCATTTAGGATCATTTCTCAGGAGGGGGTTGAGGGAACATATCCCGCATTTCTAGGTGTCCATGTGCATCAGAATGTTATCTCTTCCTTAGATGGTTTCCATGTAGATGATGTGTTTATAAAAAATTCCCATCATCTTTCTCTTAAGCATGTGGAAGTGGAAGGGGAAATGTCTCAGCTTCTTCCTCCTGTCTCTAGCTTTATGTCCCATGCACTTTGCAATTGTGCCTTTTTCCTGAAAATTGGGCCACTCCCCATGTCATATCAAAGGCCGGTATGTTTTGTTCTTTTCTCTCTTTACTAATTTCGGGCACTATAATAGTTTTATAGTAGCTTGATTCCAGGTTACTAGTTGGGCAGTTCATTTTCTTCATAATTGAACTTGAATAGTTGAATACATGGCATTGTTGTTTGTGGTTTTATATTCTCAAAGAATTTACCTTCTGCTTGCCATAGGCTTACATTACAATACAAAATGATAACAGGACCGCGAAATTTGCTCAATGTTACCTCAGTGATGCCCATTTTGGAACTCTGTTATCTCAGTGGTGCCCATTTTGGAACTCTCCTTGGTAGTCACTTAGAACTGGTCTGTGTCAGCATGGTTGTTGTGGTTGTTTTTTTCTTTCTTTTTTTTTTGGTTTGTGTCAGCGTGTTAAAACCAGCATTAATACAAAGTCAACTGGCATTAAATGGGTTTGTCCTGACTGAAGAAATAACAACAAAACCGTACCTGATACCTGAAGCTCTATGGTAATTCCTGATGCTGTCAATTTTTCTGTCCCTCACAATGTGCCAAAAGAAAATTTATTTGTTTTGTAGGCATTCTCAATGGATCATCATGATTTGTTGGAACCTCTGCCCTCCAAATGTTCAGATTGTGGAGTAGAATCCATGCCATCATAGAGCTGTCAATATCA